TTTCTACTTCATTTTTCCAGATTGTACATCTAAAACGTGCCACGCGTTTTGTTTTCTGACCCCTTCTTCTCCAAGAACTGGCCTTTTTCTTGTAAAATATTGCAAAGTCATACAAATTGTCTGACTGCTCAAAAAAGGGGTGAAAAATTCCATTAAAAATTATAAATATTTTTCATGATTATTGCAGTTATCAGTACTTGAAATAGAAATCACCTTATTTTGTAATAGATAAAAAAAACATTTTTACTCTCTAGCAAGCTTTGGAAGAAGGGCAGTCAAAATCTTATTACAGGTTTATTGCAAGTTCAAAAGAACACAAATATTTAAAAAACATGTTTCTAGCAGAAATTATTTTGCATATATATATTCAAAAGAGTGGCTAATTTCTAAGACTGAGATTTCAGAGATTTTAAAATCTGTTCTCTGCTGAGCCTGTTGGGCGTTGAGGATGGGGGCATGAACTTTCTCCTTCTGGAGCGATGAGCAACACCAGTGTATGTGATCCATAGAGCAGAGGGAGATGGGGCCATTTCACTTACCTCCATGCACATTACACAGCGCAGCGCGTGAGATAGGTGACACAAACTGGACTCACGCACTGACGAGTGAGTGCCAACCGATGAAAGGCTCCCACCGAAAAAAGCAGCAACGTGCATCCTGCCTTAGACTCCACTCCTCCTTTGTGACTTCGAGCTGCAACAACAGGAATCTCATGACCAGGCACCACCTCTGCCTCCCTTTGACTACCTGGGGCAAGCTGCTCTGGGCCATGCTTCTTGCAGACCGATACCTTACAAACCAAGCGCTGGGCATTCAGGACAACAGCTCAAGGATTCACTGCAGAATACAGCCTCAGACAAACTCTCCTCATCTTATATGCTGTACCTGCTGGCTAGCAATATTGTAGCCAAAATATCAATCAAATTGGTGCCCGCTTCTTCTTTAACAGATCCTGACACCACGTAGGAGGGAACCGTCCTGCTTCCTAATGTCATTATTCTTAGAACAGCTAATTATTCCTAGATTACTATATCTGGCTTCATCTAGCTCATCCTTTATTTTCCTTGAACAGTATCTTAGGCATTGCTTCCTTTTCTCTGCAGCTGACTTAGGAAACCAGCTTAAGTCTCAGATAAAGACATCATTTTATTGTTAACAGCACGGGCCTGCAAGAACTCTCATCTTGCAGCACAAGGCCACTGATTCAGAAAAGGTTTTTTAAGATTTTTGAGACTAAGAGATTAACAATACATCCATCACTTCCTTCTCATCTCTACAGCTAGGCAAGGAGAAAAACCTATAATGTATTTACGGAATTCATCAAGTTTATCTGCCTGGTAGCTGACAAGAAGAAAACTGACGTTGAAATGTCATCCTGCCTCAGGGATCTACCATTTCAAGCAAGGGGAGGATGTCCACACTGAATTTGCTTAGCTACATTACAAAGGCACACGTTAAGGTAAGCAAACATTTATAAATGTGGCAACACAACATTTGTAGCACAGGACTCCATCAGGCTGGGCAAATCCAAGGCTTCCCCGGCAAGAGCTACAAGACAAGAACAGCCAACGCCACTACGCTGACACAGGCCAAAGGCTCAGATAACTAACTGGTCTCCAAAATGTATCCACCATTACTTACCAGCTTGATTTCCAATTGAGAATTCATTCTTATGCAGCTGTAAAATCTCGATCCCTTCTTCCTGGGCTCTGCACCTACGCTTTGTTCTAACTCTTCATTCAGTTCTGCCGACTGCAAATTTGCCCCCCTGAACGGAATTCAGATTTAACAAATTTGGATCTGGATTTGACTGCCAGACAGAGATTTTGTCGGGGGAAGTTTTGAAAACAGATGAGAAAATTATGCTGTAAGAGAGGGTAAATTTCAGCTTGCTACAGTCTTTGTGGTTATGAACAACTAAAAGGTGATGGGAACAGTCCACTCCTTTCATATGCTCCAAAATCCAAAGTGGGGAAGGGCAACAAGGCAGCTCAGACTTGCTCTTTTCAAACTGTTGCCCAAGACTTGGGGAAGCAGTGCCAGGATATCAGCGGAGAGTGCAGTGGCCACCCTGAGCAACATTTGGGAGAGCCCCCAACAACCATTCTGAAGCATGAACCAGATGCTGGAACAGAGTCTTGCTTTTCTCCATACAGTGCAGTCCGCCCAAGTAGAAATATTTGAATAATATACTTTCCAATAGATTTCAATAAATATTGCTACAATTGCAGGGAATAGACTTATTGCAACACCTGACTCAGCTGATGTTTCAGAGATTGAATTCATTTATACATGTTGTAAACTCATGTACGTAGGTAAATTCATCTCATTTCTATAAATACCTCCGGGAAACTTTACAATACAAAAACCCCTCTTGAGAATTACTTCCATGAAAGATGTTGTATGCCAATAAGAAAGATGATTGCTACTGATAAATTATTTTAATTTGCATATTCTATAATAATGTTCTTATATAACCAAATATTAAAAGGCAGTGCCAGTGGATCCAATCCTCTCTCCTTCTCTTCCATCACAATGATCTAACAGTTTTTGTTCCTAATCTGTGGCACTGTTATTTTTAAAGCACTACATTCAATACGAGATGCACAAAGACATTAGTATTTTTATGTTAAGAGGAGGGAAGCGAGAACAATGAAGCAGCTTAAGAAAGTGATAATCTTTAGAAAATAGATAAAAGCTGTAAAGCACAAAAGCTTTTCAAGGAGACTGTACCTTTACATACAGCCCAAAGCTGTATTTTTCACATGACTATTAAATTTTAATGATGTCAATAACACCCTAGCACAGAAAGGAGCCAATACGCTACTAAAGTGTATGTTTTCAGAAATAGTAACATTTGGACAAAGAGATTTAGACATTGGTTTCCTGAAGGTCAACTCAAGACTGACGTGAATTTCCACTATAACAAAGGCCCATCTAAGTACAGGGCACTCTTCTTTAGCCTAATCTTCTTTACACGATAGCAGTACACAGACCAAACTTCCAACTCAGCACGCAGCCAGCCTTTGGCTACTCTGGTTTAAAAATGGAGCACATCTCTGGTATAAATGCCACTACCAAAATTGTATTTCAAATTATCTCTTAGGATGAAGTTTAGTGTGCTGGAACTCAAGATACAGGAAACACAAGGCTTTTGGCTACCCACAGGATACCACTTTCTCTTCTGTCCTTAGGCTCCTGCTGACAGCCAAAGTCGTCCCAACTCAACACAGCAAAAGAAAGGAACAAAAACCTCCTACAAAATGAATGCTCTTCTCTGTTTTCCAGCTGGTCTCTTTTGCTTTATAACTTTTTAATACTGCAAGGTACCAAGGGCCAAGGAATGTCTGTCTAGTTGCCTGTCTAGACTACGTCTAATCTAGTGCTCTGCAAATGTACCAAGCAAGCTCTGAGCTTGTCCCAGCCCCAGACAGCA